AGGATTCGCCATTGGGATCAGTTGGGGGAAGAAATAGGTGCAGTTTGGGATAGCCCGCAAAGGATTCGCCATTGGAATTTGCACTAGGGTAGGCGAAGAGGGAGTCGGTCCCTACCTTCTGAGGATGTAGGCCAGTGGATCATGGTGGATCATTGGTGCGGATGGCTAGGGCGGGACGGCGTGGAACGTCGGAGGTATGCTTGCCACAACTCGGACCTGCTCCGGACCTTCGTTGCAGAAGAGGTGAATGCATTCCGATCCGTGACTCGTCACGCAGCACGTGTGGCTGTTGGTGGGAGATGATTGGGATATATTGGGAGTATAGAAAGCGGGCTGTGTGTTAAGATTGTAACAATTTGTAAATGCTTGGGACGTTAACATCTCAGATTCCTTTTGTCCACAGTGGAATCGATGAACGCCAAAGAAAGTGAAGTGAGGAAAGACGACTTGGCAAATCTATCCTATTGTCCTTCCGTCCTTCCCTTGATGCCCAGGATCAGATTCAACCCTTCTTCTGGACATGGAAGATGCCATTTGGCCCCAATTTTGAGGCAGGCTGGAGCCTAAAATATCTTTTAGGCTTAGAAGATCCAAGCCTTGGCCAACAATGCGATCCAAAGAGTGATGTAGGTGTACAATTTTGATCAACACCCCGATTTTACCTGAGACAGTGAGACACTCACGCGTCAAAAACCGGGGTTTTCCCATCATCAACACGTGGGTTTTCAATGCCATGCGTTGACTTTGTGGCGCGAAGTGCCACGAAATTGCTGAAGAACCTGCAGTGCACTCTCGGACTGCCCTGCTGCGCAAAGATTTGTGCAAGCAAGTCGCAATTTTGCGAGCCCAGGGTTTTTCGTCTGTCGGTGCGCAGCATCTGCAGATGTATAGCCTGCAGTGCATGACTTCGCATTTTCTTGTCCCATTTCAGAGAGGCATTGGCCAATGTACAGTGCACGCTCCTCTAATGAGGCGCCCAACAATATCTGAATTGAGGATTAAACAAAACAGTTTAAGACTGTGTGGGGGGCCAGCTTATTCATGGACCCTCCAACTGGCCATCTTCCCGTGCTTTTTTTGTAAACGCAGTAAATGCAGTGTGTGATTAGGCACCGCGTGGTGCTGTCACCAGCCTGCCTGCTCTCAAGCACGGCCTTGCCTGGGGTGTGGCCCCTTTAGATGGGCCCCTTTGAAGATTTGGATAGATCCAGACACCCCATGGCCAAGACTTTCTAAAGTTCTAAAGATCTCCGAGAAGAAAGGACGTCGCACCACAGTGCAGCTCTATGTTTGTTCGACGGAGGGATCATTGATTGAACACATTACCTCAAAGGCAGGAAAGACCATAAAGTACGGGTGTTTAAGGTCCTTTTAAGGTAGTGCTACAATAGTAAGGCCACACCACAGGGCTTCACTCATCCTTTCACAGTCATCATCACGCCTTTCACCAATCTAAATCACTCTCTATGAGAGAGTGAATCTCAACTTGAATTTCTATAGGCCAACCTTTTCGCTTTCCAAACCGCTCTTCAGGTCAAGAGACGAGACCCGGCAGCGACCGCGGCGGAAAAGCCGAAGCGATGTCCGTGGCGTGCGGGGAGCGGATCGATCCCGTTGGTCCAGCTGTTTCGGAGAGTGGGGAGTGTGAGACGAAGGGTGTCGTCGTGCCCTTTTGGGAGAGCGAGATTATAGGTTTCAGTATGGTTCAGTCCTTTCTCAGACTCTTCGAAGGCTGGATCAGAGTGGCAAGAGTACTGCAAATGCAGAAAGATACAGCTTGGGTTTGCTACCCTTTTGGACGTGTGTGCCTCCTCTTTTTTGCAGGGCTTTTGATCATGCCGTGGGTTTCCAGGCCATTGAGAGGTATTGAGTTGGGCTGCGGCACTGGAGTGGCAGGTGCTGTGGTGGCTGGTTTGTGGACAGAGCTCTTTGATCAAACACTTGGGAATGATGATCAAATTCCAACATCTATACTGTATCTCATCAGGATGTACCGTGATTGTTTTTGCTGGACTCCCAAGCTGAAGTTGTCATCCACCAAGTCCGCAAGGCTTCGGCCTAGCCTTCCTGGGTCATGAGGCCAGGCATCGTGGGTACGCCCTGAACATGGACGACAAAAAACGCGTGACCACAAAGATTGGAGTGGAGAACCTGCAGGGTTTTGTTGGCTTCTTAATTGGCCGCTAACGGTGACAGTTTCTGCTTCAAATTCCCTGAGCAGGCTTTACTGCGGGTTTTCATGTTTGCCTGCATCCTTGCAAATCAATTCTGGGGTTGACACAAGGCCAGCGGTGAACGGTGTGTTTGGTGAGAAGCTAGCACACGGCCTCAGGAGGTAAGTAAATGTGCAACATGCCACGTGGATGCCAAGCAAACTTGCAACACCCAGCGGCAAAATGAAGAGTTTGACTATCCTGAACTGGAGGCCATATCAGCAAATCTAAATGTACATAATCATAGTACTTTGCACAAAGCAAGCAGAACGTGTTTGTTGGGTACTTGGGGATGGTGTGCGTTTTCGAAATGATATGCCCATCGATTGCGTTTGCATCGGCGTTCTCGCTTTCATCGGAGGTCTTGCTCACAGACATCGGCGAGGAGCAAGCGGCTGCGACGCAGGTGGGGAGCGATCGTCCGACAGGGATCGTGGGTCCCTCGGCCGTTCCATCGAACCGATTCCGGTGGAGCCCGGTCGCCTCGAGCCCGGTCGGTTCGACGTTTGCTCGGAGGGTGCAAGGATTGCAAGGATGGACCAAGACTTTTGGACGATGTGCGAAAGAAAAGGCGTTCGCCGTTTTGGTGTGTGGATTCTCGGTTTCGCAAGCCCTTTGTGGTCTAGCGGGTGTCCCCCAGCGCGTCAGCAATCTGACAGGGTTCTTGGATCAATCGATGCCTTGAAAGATCTCGAAAGACATCTTGCATTCCACAAAAAATGGTTATATATAGATCGCAGGGCCTGGCATTTTTAGCTCATGGTCTTCCTTTACCATCACCGGCCCAGAGGGAGAAGTGGATCCCCTAGCCCTAGAAGCGATGGCTTCCACCTATTAGCTTTTTGCTAGTAGTGATGCCAGCTACTAATAGCTTCTTGTTACTAGTAGCTACTTGCTCCTATAGTAGGGCCAGTTTCGCCCCGAACTCCTAGCGTCCGATTGCTCCGTTCGGTTCGTCGCGATGCTACCTGTGCCCTGACCTCCGTTCGGTTCGTCCCCTCGTGGATCCGTGCCGACGGACTCCTGCTTCTCCAGGGCAACATCGCCCAAAACCAAGCGACCTTGAACGCCGTGGGTGGACGAGCTCAGTATGGGCACTTGGATTGGAGGACGTCCGGGAGCCCGGCCCTTTTATCATCCGCGGACGGTGTGGATGAGGACGAGCGTTGCCATCGGAACACTCTGGCGCAACTGATCCGAATCGGAACTCCTGTTAGAGTCAATCATGCCCACAGATCCCACAGGAATGACTCCTCTCAATAATCTTGGTCAACACCTATTCTGAACAGATCATGGGACAACTTCAACTCGAAGATATGGTGATTCTATTTCTCCACTCATCAAAGCTCTTGTTTTTGCAGCGTTTGGCACCGGCCCTGCCACCGGCACCTTGCCCGTTTTCAGCCTAGGCTGCCGGAACGGAGCCGCTATGGTCGTTTCGACATGGTACTGGGCAGCGATGTGATTTGGCTTGGTGAGCCCAGTTGTTCGATGGCTTTGATAGAAGGAGTTCTGACAGGAGGATGTGATTCTTTCGAGAATCCAACAAGAACACATTTGGGGCCCACCCAACAAACAGTTACAGAAAGAGTTACATCAGATGTAGAAAGAATCACAGTGTTCAATCAGTGTCTTATGGTGTGGAGACAATGGCTCTCCGAGTCGTCAGATGTGTGGAGTATGTCGTCAAGAAGCTTCGGATTCGATCAACCCAACCGTCGCTCCCTCTGGGGCTCCAAATGGAGCGGTCGATCCGGTCCCATGGAGCTCTGGTAGGTCCTGTCGCTGCCAAAAGGGGGGGGCACTCCACTTTGGACTGCCAATCATTGACTGCATAGTCATGGAGATGCATCAATGATTGGGCCCTGCCCGAAACTTTAGACATGTTTTGGCAGGATGTCCTCACTAGCTGAAGAATCTTTGCTCCGTGCCTCGCTCCCCTTCGTTCGACTCAAACGCTTGCTGGTTCATTCCACTGACTCAAGCAGGTAATGGCTGATCCCCTGCACTACCGGGCCCAAATCTACTAATCCCAAAGGCCCCAATCAGACCTCAACGGATGCTCCGACCGTTAAGACTGGAGTTCACATGCATGCAGTGCACACACACACACATACATGAAAACCACATTTTGCAGCTGGTCAAAGTACTGTAAAGCGATAAGGATTAAAAAAGAACCTATATAAATATAACGTCAAGAGGGTTGCTCCCAGCCACATTGGCTCCAGTTGACTGATATTGACTGCGTCCTGCAAATTTTCTCTCCTACAGCTCCAGGCATGAGTCCTTGGTGGAGCCCTTCCTTCAGGCCTCCCAAAAGAGAGAAGGGACCAAACCTAAAGACATTCGGAAGACCGGTATTCGACCAGACGGCTGGACGGTATTCGACCAGGATCTGGGATCGGTTGCCGCAATGACTGGGATCGGTCTCGTGCCAGCTGGGTTCGAGCAAACCTATGGGGTGTTTTGCTCACATGAGCAGAGATTTTTTTTTGACATGAAAGGGTTTATACAAGATGTAACCTTCAAAAGGCTGGCATAGGCAACCTGCTTGGGGACGTAGGCGGTCGTAGGCATTGTATGGTCTAATGTTTGTCGTAGGCGTTTGCCGTAGGCGACCGAATCGACCGAAATAGCATGCCTTGAAGTCACCCAGCTTGCGTTTCTGATTCAAACTAGAATTGACCGTGGTTTTTTTTGTCTCAGTTTCTTGTACCAGATGTCTTTCATCTCATAGTCTGAGACATGAACCAGGGCAGTTTGCAAGAGCACCTAGAATGACCACCAGAGAAAAACGCAAGACATTGCAATGCAACCACAATGCCAAGACTACCCGGGAGGTTAGAAAGGCCACTGTTTCTGTGTAAGAGGTGAGAACTCCCAACAATGTCCCAAACAACTCTTTTGTGTTGTTTTCCTGGGGACATTTTCCGTAGGCTCACCGTAGGTTCTCCGTACAGGCACCGTAGGCGAAAATGCATTTGTTTATCCTTCCCCTATGTCCGCTTGCCTATAGTACTCTCAAATAGATGTTAAAACCTGCTGTTCTGAGAAGTATTCCCACTGTCGAAGACATGGGGAGACTATACGCGTCAGTGCACGTCCCGCGTGGTATCGTCCCTCGCCTCCGAAGTAATGTCCAAAACTCATGATGAGCGTGAAGTCGTTGCTTGCTTGTCAGTCTTCCGTTGTGAAGCACATAGCCAATGAAACCAACTTGCCCATCGTAGAGTGCCGAGCTCATCATCTGAAAGATAAAGGGTCAGCTGCTGCGTAAACGTTTCCACTCGCAAGAACTGCATGGTACCGTAGGCACATTGGAACAGTAATGCTCCAAAACCTCACGTTCGTAGATTTCCCGTAGGCGATGTGGAATAAGCCATGTCTGTCGTAGGCTTTCACTGTGGAAACGTAGCCAAACCGTAGGGTTCTACGTAGGCACCCAAGGATGATAACACCACCACGTCTTTAAAAAAATCCCTGCTCACATGGCTGTTGCTGATTCACCCCAGAGCCTTATAAATTTGAAAAGCACGCATCTTCAACCAGACCAACCGAACATGACAGCAAGGACCATTCATATTAACTGGTGCTTTGTTGGTTTGAACATGAAATACGTATACCAAACATTACCAAACTAGATCAAACTAGTATAGACTATAGATTATTCATGATATTTCATGATCGGTTCTTCTTCTTTGTGCTTCGTGCGAAACAGCTTCGTGCGAAACTGCTCCGCGACGCCCATCCGTCACCGGATGCCGCGATGCCGTCGAGGCCGTGGCATGGGCGACCAGTGGCCCCGGCGCAGAAGAAGTGATCCTCTCGCACAAGGAGCGGGGCCACGGGGCCTTTTGTGAGGGCAGATGTAAAAGGACCACATGCACCCCGCATGCACCCCGCAAAAAAATATAGGTTGCTTATAGAGCCTGCAGGTTGCTGTCATTGATTTACTCATCGGCTTGCTACCGTGTTTCCCAAAATTGATCGTCTTCAAGGCGGTGTCAACACATCTTGATCCACGGCTAAAACGGCGATGCCGAGCAGCTCTCGCTCTCACATGCGTGCAGGCACGCGATCAAGAGTCCATCGACCTCTTCCACAAGGCCCAAAACGTGGAATATCAATGAATATCACATGAAGGCCCAGTCGACGACACTCCAAATTGAAAGTCGGTTCATTGGTTCGTCTCCCAGTTTCTGGTCTCCAAGTAGTCTCACTTGTCACCATGAAAAGGGTTTCTCCAGAAATCAGGACTGAGTACAGTCGTTATATTTGCACTGGTTTCTGATGGGAAAATGATGGAAAATGTATTGAAGCATGTATAACTCAACCACTCCATCTGCGTGGCCCTCCCGGGGCCCCCCCCGGCCGCTGAACCTTTCCGTCAGATGTTGGGCCCACTGGGCTTGAGACTGGCCAAGGAGGTGGGTGTTTGCCAGGGACAGCCGTGGCCGACAGCTTTTGAGAGAAGATTCCGATTTCCACATGCATAGCTTAACACCTCTGTGTTCGACGTGCAGTGTTTGTGTTCTTTTTCCCGACGGTGCGAGAGACAATGATCAGAGGGCCCGCGGAATTTGTACGGCCCATGTGTTTAGGATTTGCTTCATGTTGATTTCTTGTTTGGGTCTTTCACACGGTATGTCGCTTGGCCAGGTTCCAAGCGAAGAGGTCTTGGGGGAACATGGACATCCTGATGTGAAGCTGTGCCCCCCTGGCCGTCAAGGTCCTTTCGATTGCCAGGGCATGACCGAGTCTCAATGTTTGCTCCAACAGTTTTCTGGATTTCAATGCCCTCGAAGACGACGGGTTCAGGGCTGCCATCCAACCCGAGAGTTTTGGCTCACGAGAATCTGTGGCATTCCCTTCGAAAGAACAAGGTGGAACCCCAACTGGGCGTGGTGAAGAAAGTTCAAGCTGAGACTCATGAGCAGCCCAGCTTCGATGGCAGGTACCATTTGCAACGCGCCACGACCACTCCGGGTGCCAAGTGAGTGGCTTTTCACTGCAAAAACAGAACGGTGGGCGTTGTCAAAAGGACCGCTGGTGTGATATGGTCTTCAGGTGTGAGCAGTACACCGGCCTGACCTATGTGAAGCATGTTTCTGAAAGTTTGGGAAACTCTCACAGGCTTCAAGAATGATTTGAACTTGTCGATAAGCTTCTTCGGTGCAGAGGAGGAACTTCTTGGGTGTATTCGATTTTTGCTGTAGGAGAAGGATAGGAATTGCTAACCAGGGTGAACAAGGTAGTTTCTTTTTGCGCTGGTTATGAAGATTCAAACCAAAAACAACTCCAATGTGTGTGATTTTGCAGGTGCACGGTGTTTTTGGCTACAAGATGCAATGTTCAGTGGGCTCAGATATAACTGTTCGTCAACGATGATGGCGATATCGATATGACATGGATCGATCACCATGGAGTGGTTGATCTCGGCGTCTCTTCCCGTGCTTCCATGGACTAGATGACTAGGTGTTTGTGTTCCATCTACAAGACATGGTTTTCCCATGTTTTCTATTGTTTTCTTGGGTCACAACTTCCATTTGCAAACTTCCATTTTCCCGTGCTTCCAAGGGTCGAGACGTCCGTTCTCCGTTGCTTGTTTGGGCGGTCCGAATAGCCCCGGGTCGAACGGAACGGCGGTAGATCTCGGGTGCGGCGATGGACTTTGAAGAGGTGATCTCCAAAGTCTTGTTGAAACGAAAGCCCGAACCTCGGCAATTACTTATTAGGCAATTGCAGTGGAAGGAGAGGGCCTTTGGAGGATTTGGAGGTGTTTCTCTTTGCACTAGTTCCCGCCCGGAGATATGTTTGGGGTCCAGTGCCGCTATGCTTTGAGTGTATAAAAGTATTTCCCAAAAGTGTGTGTGTGTGTGTTTCTTTGTTTCGGGTGCAAGAGGAGGATTAGGATTGATGTGACTAGCGTAGCAACGCTGAAGTTTGTTTGTGTGTTGGGTGCGTGATGAGGCTGTTTCGGTTTCGATGGTAATTTGGTTCAAAGCTTTCAAGAAAAGGACTCATACTGTATTGCCTTGGGAAATGGAACTGAGTCCAACGACACGTGCACGCGTCGTGCACGACCGGACGTCCCGGAGCATCGGTGTCCACACGTCGCAGAATGAAGTCAAGGGGTGGCGGTGTGCAGTTACCGCCGGGGTGACTGGATCTGGTTGGCAGTATGCCATAGGTGAACACTGAAGATCTATCGAATCTATCCTGAGCTGTTTTCACCTCATGTGGAGAAGTAACTCCTGGTGATTCCATTCTTCCTCATGTAGAGAGAACGGAGTAGTAGCCAGGTCAGAAGTGATGCAATCCGCAGGGCCATTCGTCGGGGCTTGGAGCACAGGGCAGCAGTTGATGGTACTGGCATCTAGAACGACATGTTGGTGCAAGGGGCCAAAGCGAGACAATTGCAGACCATCAGAAAGCAATAGAAAGCAGCTTTCAACGCTTCTTCCCACTGGCCTTATTTTGCATCTAAGAGATCATTCAGTTACCAGGCAGCTAAGCACTGGTGTGTGAATTTGATTTTCTTTTGTGGTAGACCAAGAAAGGTGCATGCATTCTCCGTCATTACGAGGTTTTTATCCCACCAACCTCAATTCCAGCCTCTCTTGTAGTTTGAATACTGCTAAGTCACACGTACCTTATTTTTCGGCTACAAGAGAAGGAGGAAGACCATGGAAAACCACCACTTCTCTTCAGAAAGTCCACTCCCTCGTTCAGAAACATCCACCAGATCAGTCGCTCTCCGCTCCGTGTTTGTCAGGAAGGAATCCACCCCTTCCACAGCTGGAGCGGCGCTCCCCTGCGAGTGCCACCGGACGAGTATGAACGACGACTGGCGGAGACCCGGGCGTCCATGACGCAGGTCGCGACGGGCGGTACGACCGGCGAAGCGGGGCGTTCGTTTTGGGCCGGCGAACGGGGTGACTGGCTGAGAAAGAGGTGTTGTTCTGAAAGGGTGTGACCCGATCCACGGCTGACTTGTTTCACAGTGCTGATGTCAGGTATGCCTGGAAATCACCTGTTTAACAAAGAAAGCAAACGCCCTCCTTTGAAACCTTTCTGGATTTGAAGACGTGACAGGATGGCCTCGACTTTCTGATCGTGGTCCAGCCAGAGGACTGCAGATCGGATCCAGAATCGCATGGGCATTGGGGTGTTCATGCAACGAATTGGAGTCTCACTATATCTCACAATACTGCAATACATATATACTGTATATAGTGTATGGGGAATGGAACTGAGCTTCTCCCTCAAAGACTCCATCCTTTTCAAACGTCCTCCTTCTGGATCTGATGTAATCTGTCATGTCTTCTCCCACTTTCAAGCGAAGATGCTGTGCCCCATTTCTCCACAAAACCCTATGAGGGTGACACCATGCAGGACATTCACCTACAAAAAGGCCTCTGAAAGGTGTAGTGGGGTGGGTTCACAATCCAGGATGCACCAACCTGTTTGAGTTGGGTCCCTCTCTGTTCATGACTTTTGCTCCTTAAGGATGTCTGCTTTCTTCGCATTCGGGAGAGATGTTCTTCAACAGTTTTCAACTGTCCAGGACTATCCATATTCCATCCGCATCCATTTATGATGTCCACCCCAAATAAAACCTCGAGGCTTTGTTTGGAAATCCAGGATCTCTACTACTTGACGGGCTTTTACACCATTGGCGATAGCGCCCCACAAGCCTTGGTTGTTCCATTGGAAGAGCCGCCCTTCCTGGTGGCGCGGCTCATCGAGTGTGATCTGGTGCCAAAGCTCTCCTGGGTACCCAAGGCCAACCCCAAGCGTACGACCACGACGACGAAACTCGCATGCCGTAGGTCCGGGGAGAGATGGTTTTGAGAGCCGAAGTTAGCAGAATTCTTAGGAGGTGAAGAACAGGCAACATGTGGTTGTTGGATGAGGGACATTGGGGTCTCGAAGGACATTTGGAACTGGGAAGCCTGGATAGCACAGGGCATTTGTAAAACAAGCTGGCTAATAATCCCGTGTCAACACTGCAAAGAGAAGAGGGAGGGCAGTTTAGCAGCAGTGGAGAGCAACTCAGACATTGAATGCAGGTAGTTTCATTGCAGGTCAACTGCATCAACCATGCAGTACACATGCACTGTACAAGCTCAGCTTGAAAGAGATGTAGTCTCAGACTCGGATGAATGTCGCTCAGATCTGGCAGGTCTTTACCTGCCCTGACAAAGCGAGCATTCTGGAAGTCTTTTACTATGCCACCACCGCAGCGAGTGTGCCAGCACCTTGGCTGCAGTCATTCCGACAAAACATGCGGCCACAGAATATGCGGCCGCATATGACTGGATGAATTACTCAAACTTTGGGGGTTCTTGACTTGATTTCTTCATGTGGGCATGTTTTTCTTGCTTCGTTTGCATCCCTGTGCTCAATTCGGCCGGCCGGTGCAACCCGACACCGGCGCCGGACACCGGCCAGGAGGGCCGTGTGGGGCTGCCGCTGCAGTCGATCTCGGCGCAGCATTTCTTCCACCTGCAGAAGTTCTTCCAGAAATTCGAGACCGAGTTGCTGGACGCCAGCAAGACGGTGCCCACGCGAGCGCGAGCGCGAGCGCGAGCGATGCGACGAAGAACGATGGGGTGGTTTGGGGGCCTTGGGGGCCTTTGGCCGTTCGAAGAACATGGAGTGCCCCCTTTTTGGGCGGCCAGCGTTGGTTCGTGAGGGTGATGATCAAGGTTTGCAGCTGCATAGTGCTTCCTTGATGTGCATACAGGCTGAGAGCTGCCACAGGAACTGGCTGAGAGCGGCCACAGGACACAAAGGACAAGATCCTGATCTTTCGTGCTCTCCACCTTGTTTCTTTCTCATGGACCAGATATCAGAAGGGGTCTCGCATGGTCTTGCGATCTAGAACATCCCTTCACCAGATCAAAATTCCATTGATCACTGCAGCCGTCCACCATCCGTGAAGTAACCTAAGCTGAAAGGGCATGCTGACCAGTGACATCAACCAGCCAGTCGCCTTCCCATCCGTCACCGTCAGTTACCACCACTTCTGGTGATGCTAATCGATGCTAATCGCATCTAATCGCCTTCCTCATGATATTTCAAGAGGTGGAAACATGACACCCACAGGCACTGCCACATTTCGTCGAAGTCCATAGACCGCAAGCGGTGAGTCACGTCGCGTCCCGCACGCACGAGTCGCAGCCCGAGTCGCATCGCGCCGCTCGTCACGTCGCGAATCACATTGCAAGTAGGTGGAGCGCGTCCGCCTGGTGAAATCGACCTTCGAGCAGGCAGAGATGGTTTTTTCCGCACGTCTGGGGGGGGGTTTGGATGAGTTCAAGTTCCAGAAGGGTGGTGAACATGAGGTCGGAGATGGTGGATGTTGGAATAGGATTTGTGGAAGTGGTTGACATGACAGGGAGTGGCAGTATATATTACGAATTAGATCTAATTGGGCTTTTGAGAGTTGGTTTGAAGACATTCGACATCATTCGACACTCCCCTGGCTTTTTGGTCGTGTCTTTGTGTAGCCGCTAGCCTCGTGTTCTCCATTTCAACCTTCGACCCTTCTTTTCATTGAACGCCTCCCCTGTGGACCTGTGCACACCAACTCGTTCCAGTTGTGCTTCGCCACGCCCTGGGCATCCACCATGGCCCTCCTTTGCCAGACCCCTCAGCCCTGGCCCATCCTGGCCGGGAAAGCAGCACCGACGACGCCCTGCCTGCCAGGCGCAGATCGTGGCGGCCGCGCGAATCTCCGAGGCCGCGCTGCTCAGTGGTCTCCAGCTCATTCAGCCAGGCGACGCCCGGTCTCGGGCGACGCGCTCGGGCGACGCTCTGAGAGAACGGCTCCAAACGGCACTGCCTGCATCGATCGATCTGTTTGGGTCGGAGCGGCGGTTTTTGGATGTGTTCCGGTTTGCATGGAACAGTCATGTCGTTCTTGAGCCGAGCAAAGCCATAGATCATATCATAGATAATGAATCTGAAACGGGGCAGAAACTACTCAGTTCGGGGAAACAGACCACTAAGTCTTGGCTTGAGTTCTTCAATTGCATCATCCCAGGCCCATCAATATCGAGTCTCCTCCGGTGTGCCCAGAAGTCCAGACTTGTCGGCCTTAAGCTTGGTCTCGCATGGACGGGCTCCTTCACGCGCCGAGCCGCCCTGGCAGGGGTTCTCCTCAGCACCCTTCACAAGCAGAGCTATGAGACCCTCATGTCCCTTGGGAGCGAGGTGCGCGGGACAGCTGTCGCGGCAGTCGACGCGGGGCAAAACGGCGAACGGCTGCAGACACCAAAAGCCGGGATGGAAGCAGTGGTGGAGCAAAGAGAGAAACTGTTCCCAAACTCAAAAGAGAATACCCTGTATTTCTATATCTCTTATAGGTGAGTCATTCCGGTCTTGTACTGCTACAAGCTCGTCTTGTGCAGGTGCCAGGCTATGTGCCCATCGTACGAAGCACCGATCCGAGTGGCCACGGCTCCTGGATGGTTGGAGAGGAGTTCGATCGGTTCGATCGCGTCTTTCCGGACACCAAGCGATGAAACCACCAAAGCCGGAAAACCACCAAAGACACCCCCTTAGGTCCTTTGAAAAAACGCACGGAAGTGACCAGGAACAGCGTGGAACAGCGTAAAAAAACGTCGTTTTCGTGCTCGTTTCGAGAGCCGCGTTTTCGGGAACAAACCTTCGGGTGGATCCGAGTTCGTCCTGTCCACAGGGGCGTCATGGCGATGCCACGGCTCACCTTTGAGAAGTCTCTGTTCGGTACCGGCACGGGTAGCCACGGAGGACAGCAACCACGACGGACCATCCGGACTGGCATATTTACACACATTGACCCTTGAAGTCCCAGACCCAATGTAGGTATACCGTGGCTGCCAGTCCCATTGGTCTGGGCAAGGCAGTCCCTTCCATTTTGCAGCGTCACACATGCGACCTGAGCGTGTTCATTGTTGCAGAGTTCGTTGCAGACCCCTCCGCCGAAGGAGTGCACCTCGGGGAACCTGGTCTTCTTGGAGTTGTCGGCCTGTCGCTTGGGCCATCACGCACCCTTGATGCGGACCGCGTACATTCTCAAGCCGGAGGCGACCGGTTCCGGAAGTGGAACCGCGGTCAACAAAAGGGCTCCTCAGTGAAGAGCCAACAGACGTATTTCGTTTCATGTAAAATACGCTATGACATCATGAAATTATGTGGAACGTCTAAGAACGTCTAAGAATCTGATGTGAACGTCTACCACGGTCCTATGTGAATATATGAACGTCGAAGACCAAGCAGAATGGCTGAACCGCCTGCTTGGCCTTGGCTCCGGGTGCGGTAGGTCCGGTTGCTGAGCACAGCCTCCGTCAGGAACATGAAGCGCCTGCTTGGCTCAAAGAAGCGGAGGAGCTCATCCAGAAGACCTTTGAGGCGCCGGGAGACGGAACACCTGTCGACAAGAGGTTTGCTTGCAAGCGAAGCCGAACTGCCCAGCTGGCCAGCTACCAGCTGCTTTGGGTTTATTGTACAGAGCTGTAATCCGAGACCCGAGGGAACTTTCCGTCCACACTCCGGAGGTTCAGATGAGTCCGATCCTCGAGATCGATCGATTTTTCAATTCCAGTCCTTGCCGCTGGCAGTCTCTCCCCCAAAACAGCTCTCGGCTCTTGCGCCAGACTTGTCCTGCGACCGCCAGACCATGTCAGGTGTGCTTGCCGCTGATGCTTCCGGGTGCCAAAGCCAAGGACATCGACGCGGTGGGCCGTGAGATCATGACCAACAACCTGCACGGCCTCTCGATGTCGGCGTCCCTTGGAGAAGGACCCATTTCGACAGCGAGGTCCCGAGTCGACTCGAGCGGCGGCCACCGAACGGAACACGAGGTTTTGAATCAGTTTTCCCCACCTGTCAGGTGAGGGTTGCTAGACTTTATGTCAGCTGCTCAGCTGCCGTCCTCCGCCAGCTCCGGATGGCAGTGTTCCCCGCCGGAGAACAACCGCAAGTGCCAGATCACAGTGAGCACTACCGGACCTCAACACACAACACACCACCACACAACATGACCACAAACAACTACAACCACAGGCAGACAAACCACAAGCACAATCACAAACAGACAACCACAACCACAACCACAAACACACAATCCCAAACACAACCACAACCACAAACACAACCACAAACACACAATCCCAAACACAACCACAAACACACAATTCCAAACCACAAACACAATCACAAACACACAAACACAACCACAAACGCAAACACGACCACAGACACACACAATCACAAACACACAGCCACAAACACAACCACAAGCACGCCATCACAAACACCCATTTACAAACACACAGCCGCAAACACACAATATCAAACACATAACCACAAACACAATCACAAGCACACAACCACAAACACAATCAGAAACACAAAGGCATAAACACACAACCAACTAGAGACCCTGGCGACCGGGTAGCACTTTGGAGACCCTGGCGACACCCCGACACGCACTACCTAACATTACAATAACAATCCCAAACCCGAGGACCCACAAGCAAAATCCAAAACCACAAAGCCCACGACCATGGCAACATGCTCCTCACCATGCATGAAAACAACAAATTGACATGTCATGGCAGGGATCGCTCGAAGTAAAGCACTAAGATTATATTTCAACCACCCCCAACTCTGAAGAGCTATTTTTTACAATCTACATGGATCTTAATGGGGGCTGTTCACTCATCAAAGGTTGTTGAATTAGTTTGGATAAAGGATGTTCATTGGACTTCAATACGAGGCACGGCCACCGGTAGTTCACTCCAGAAAGTCTGCCACCACCACTACTCCGAGGCCAAGGGTTTGGCGTTTGGCCTCCACCATGCTATAGCGCACCTTCTTCCACTAAGGCGTTTGGCCTATTCCACTGGCTCCACCTCAACTCAGCCATCTGGGCATGCCGGCTGGGGCGATGCAGATTTCTCGCTGGTGGGGCACAACGAGGGCGAGCTCCAGGCGAGCGACGGGCGGTCGTTGTGTCGTTCCTTTATCACCGGAAACCAAACATGTTAGTGTTGATGTGGAAATATGTGGAAAAGAGGTTGAAGCGATTTGGTGGATAGATGATGATAGATGAAACATGATTACTCCAAGTCCTGCTGAAATGTTGAAATTGAGACAGATTCTGTCAGCAGGGGGCGACTGACAATTAAGATATCGAACACCACCAATATATGATATAGGCCAGACAGGCAAGGCTGCAAGGCTGCATGCGCAACAAAATGTGTTTGTTCAAATTTGATTCAAACTTAGGAAAAAAACGGTCAGACCAGATCCTTCTTGAACAGAAATTTGAAGTCGTCTGCAAGTTTCACCATGGTTCACCATGGTTCACCTATTTGATTCACCCCCCAAACATTTGGCGTGTCTGCCTTTCGCCCCTCAGTTTCATCCATCTGTGTTCTTCTGTTCACTCTGTTTGCGCAATCTTCTCATGGGGCACCTGACCTCTGAGGCCGGGATGGTCTTCCACTTCATCCCTTGGTTTCAGAAGTACGACGTTCCCAGTGGCCCCATCGGCCTCTCTGACACGGTCATCGTCACCGATGAGGGCGGACGACGCGTGGGGCGGATGCCCTTGACGATCACCGTACTGGACGCGGAGGGGCGAGAAGTGAAGAAGTGAAGGTGAGTGGGCATCGCTACACACGTGGAGTCCGGCCAAAAGTCTATGATCAAAAAATAGATAAAAATGGTCGAAAGTAGCTTATGATGTTGTTTTTTCAATTAGATTATGTAGCGGGCCCCCAGCTAAGCACACCTATTCTGCAGCTGGGCGCTAGGTTTGCGGTAGACTTGGGCTAGTGTTTGACTGAGGACATGTTCAGAATGTCGTCAGGTTTTGAAAAGTAGCTGCTAAAAAATGCGCAAGCCGCGGGCTAGTAACAAGGACGCGCGACTGTATTCCGTGGAGGCCATCGCAAGTAGGTTGGAGGGCATCGCTACTATAGGAACAAACAGCTACTAGTAACAAGGGCATTGCTACTAGAAGCTACTAGTAACTAAGGGCATCGCTACTATAGTGGTCCCGTCGGCGAAGTGAATCTGGCGAGCATGGCAGGAGAGACATGGATTGCCGACCCCGATTTGTTGAAGGTCAATGGTGTGAATTCCCAGTGTGGGAACCTCACAATGTTCACATTCAAAAGGGAAGAACTTGCAGGCTCAACTCCATGTGAAAACGTCTCCAGTTGCACACTACTTGGGCCAATCCTTTTGGCATCCAGACTCCAGACATCTCCAGACTCTTGCTCTGCCGGTTCTTCTAACACACGAGCGCAGTCACGAGCGTGTCATGTGATGTCCCGATTGCTTGTCCGTTCTGCACAAAGAAATGCGGAGCAAAGTCTCGACCTGTCTCGACATATATCGACTGTACATCGTTTTTGCATGTCGCCATATACTTTGACATTTAAAGAGTATTTAAGGATCGATGGGCGACTCGGGCCCATTGGCCGGGGCAAGTCAGACTGGCTGGGAGAGAGATGTGACATGTGACATGTGAGTTCACCACTAGGACCAATGTCACAAGACCGCTTTTGGAAGGGTGGGAAGGGTTGCGACTTCGAGGTCCACCATGAGAAGCAGCGTGACACTGTGACACATCTTGTTTGTTTTGTCCTGAAAACCCTGTTCCAAGTTCGGATGTTCACACGCAGCGAGTTTCTGCCAGTAGCAATCAATTAGTGTATAGGGTTAGTTGTAGGTTCAATCCACCTCGAAACAGAACCTCACCAGATTATCCCAAGGTTGCACGCTCCTTCTACCAGCTCCCCAGGCGTGACTCTTCCCCCTCATGCGCCCGAGTTCCCGCGCGGTGTCGACCGCCAAAGTTCTTGTGGTCGATGTGTCTTCCGTTTCCCGCGGGCGTTCCACCATCGATCTCGCCAGAAACTCATCGCGGCTTTGGAGTGGGGCGTAAAAGGGGGCAAGAGAAGCCATACGCTGTACTGGTGAGAGGTCAAGGGTTTGCAGATGCTCACTCTATGTTTGAGACATGGAGATGTTCCATGCAGGAGAATGAAGATGTTTCAAGATGTTTCAAGTCAAACACCTAGAAAACGTCCGCGTTGTTGCTTCTTTACTTGCTATCTGTCCTTTTCATGCTGAAGAATATGTCCGCTGTGTTTTTCAACTGGACCGGTCTGAAACCGTTGGACACCGGCTCCAGCCCCGGCGCGATAGCGCGGCGACGGCGGACGGCGCGGCGGTGGTCCGCCGGTGGTAGACACCGCGGTCCACCACCGGTTTTCAACAGTCGGGACTCGGGGTGATGATGGGAATAGATGGAGTGGGAAGAAAGAAATGGTTGACAATGGGATGATATATTTATATAACTGTTATAATCAGATAAAGGACTATGATTATTATATCTATAATAATATTGAATTATTCATATGAAGATTATGAAGAGGTTTTGGGACTGCGGCAGTGGAACTCTCCGAACAAGTGAACGACCTGGTCGACATTCGTTGGCGCGGGGTAGCTGAGCCATTGCCGGTGCAGCATGGTGCTGCATGGATCTACCATTTCGCCCAAGTCTACGGTAGCCGTGTCATCGACCCTCCTCCAAAAACCAAACATCGAAGTGGAAATTCGGGATCCTCTGACATTCCCCGGTCTCCACGTCACCCTTTTGGCATGTCGGTCGCACCTTTTTCGGCCGCCTCGGCCTCCACGGCATCGCCTCGTAGGTGGCCGCATGCCGAAGAACCTGCACCTCTTCGGCGCGTGCACCGGGTTGGTTCGGTCGGAGCCGGTTCGGTCGAGCAGGATGCGGTGCAGGTTCGATGTGCGGCCCTTGGAGGTATTTGCAGGGCTTGAGCAGGAAGCTTCAACTCAAATGGAGGAGAACTCAGCTGACGAGGCCGGAGATAGATGGCGGATGAGTGGTTGCCACTCTGGGAGGAGTGTTTGGCCATTTGGTGTTTGTTGAATTTGGTACAATCAATATATTTCAATATATCTGGACCGTTTGGTCATACACGTTGCACAATGTTGCTGTCGCCGTGCCCATTATTCTACACCCGGCTCAATGCAGAACACACATATGTCGACATGGCTCAGAGCATCTACTACCAGGAGCAAGAAGCTACTAGGGGCTCCTAGCATCGCTACTAGGAGCAAGGACGCTACGTTCGGGGCTCCTGGCCGTACTAGGAGCAATGTTCGCTACTAACAGATGATGTCATCCCACTTTCACCCATAGCAATAGCATGCAATAGCCATCATGGCCTTTTCAGCACCTGTTTCGCCGGACGTGACCTCACAGACCTCACGACCTCCGGGGCGCCTGCCCGGTTTTCGAACGACGGCGATGGGCTGAGCGTGCGATGCTGCGAAAGTGGTCCCTGAGCTGATTCGGCTGGTTGGGTGGATCTCGAAGATCAAGTCTCACTTGGACTCCAATTCACTTAATGTGGCTTACTTGGCAAGCAAGAAAAACACAGATGCTAAAGAAGTCAGAGGAGTTCACGCCGGCCATTCTTTTCCTGAGCTGTAGGTTTGACCAACTGAGGTGCAACGCGCGCAGCCTGCGCAGCGCTTGGGTTGTTTGGCACACGAGCCATGGGGGTCTATGCCTGGGCTCAGTGAGGCCATCTAGGGTGTCAGAATGTTGCAGAGGGCACATGAGGACGGAAACCAGAAGATATAAGATCCCAGAATGTGACGATGGGACTTAAGGACCCATCAGCGAGTGTGACAGGGGCACCGGGTGCTCCTCCATTTAATGCACCCCCGTGGAACACTTCGAACTGGCGATGTTAACGACTCACGACGTCAGGAACTAGAAGACGACTCGCCAAAGCCTGTGAACAACGACTTGCACTGAGCCAGGAATTTGTTCCAAACAAAGTCACGTAATTCATAGGAACATGTTTATCACGATCTTAGGAAACTTATCAACAACCACAGAAAAACTTGTTTAATATTTTTTACGTGTAGAATCACGTGGATTAACACTGACTCAATGGTGAGATACTCGTGAAGCCTTCCTACTTGTATGGTTTTTTCATCATACATTGAAACTTCTGAATTCACCCACTCTGAACATATGGTATGGAGAAGTATGGAGATAGTCGGAGAACCGGAGATGAAGCAGGGCTCGGCCGGCACTGCTCGCTTCCGGGACTTCCTCCGCACGCCGCAGTGTCAGGCTGAGCTCGACGGATCCCAAAGATCAGGTGCGACAGATGGACCGGCCCCAACAAGCCTGGAACTGGACACCTCCTTGGGTGTGTGTTGTTTACTATATGTGTTCCATATATAAATTATAGAGCTTATAAATGACTATAAATAGAGCGATGTTGGGTCTGTTTCTTGGAGATAAAGGGTGTCATGCACACAGTATGCTTGGAGGCTGTGAGTGGTTTCACCAGTCGCCCGGGTCGGTTTGAAGGACCTTCACCGGAGATTGGATGCTCAGGGGGTCGACATCCCGGAGCATCCGGACTGGAATCTGTGATGTGCATATTTACCGCCATTTAGTATACATATAGTACATGGCATCATTGATGGTAATTACTATATAGGAAGTAAGTAATACTTACCCCATTTAGTAAGTACATATAGTAACATATAGTACATGGCATCAGAATGTCTAGTAGCAACGGGGCTGGAAGACTGGCACGTTGTCGGAGACCGAGTCTCATCACTGGTGCTGTCACGTTTGTGACATCCGCACGCCGTACTTTCACAGGTTTCTTGCTATTCTTCAGTCCAACAAAAATATGCACAGATCCAGGGATGTCAACCTGGTCCTCCGTTTGGTTTGGAATTCTCTCTTCTTGAAACATGGATCACTTTTATAGGGAGATGGACAATGGCTCAGCGAAAAAGACAAAGACAGTCAACAGTCCGCGACAAAACCGTTGATGATGACATTCGCTCCTTTTCCATTTGGATCGAACCAAGTCTTGCAGAAACGTCAGCTTTCCACTTCGCTTTCCGTTAAGTGGAGCGTTCCTTCGCATGTCCGCAAGAACACGCGACCCAGGGACCCAGTGGATCTCCAACGGAAGAGACGAAGGCGACCCACCGTGACCCACCTGGTTGAAGTGTGAACTCATCTGAACTCCTAAACCTGTTGCGTGCAGAAAGAAACGTTCACAACCTCTTGTTCATGTCTTCTGTATTGGGACTTCGTGTTACGTGAGAAGGGCTTCCACTCCCAACTCTCGCCTTTTGGTGTGCACAGCCTCGGCGCAGAAATCAGTTGTGATGCCAATAAAAACTGTGTTTGATATGAATTAGATCATGAACATGAACGAAAGCAGATCTAATCCACCCCTCGAAACGGGTTGGATTAGATCTTCCTGGTGGATGAATTGGACCGCAGAGCCAGGCCAGCGACGACCGGGATGATAACTTCCCAAGGCCACAACTGGAGAATCTCATGGCGAAGAAGAGGGAGGCGACCGAGTCTCATCGTAGCAAGTGCTTGTTTTGGGGAAGTCGACGGCGTCGAATTGTACCTTCAGTCTCAATGTCATGAACTAGCTGCAAGTGCTAATTGGGGCGGGTTCACGACAAGTATTGACTGTTTAGGGACTAGTATCTTAGTATGAGCAGTACCTTAGTGCTTTGCCTGGCACATACCGGACTTTCCACGCAGCTTCGGCGGAATTGTCGCACCGCACCGCGCGAGGCACACCGGACGGAGCGCTACGCTGATAACGATCAATGGAACAAAGGCCTTTTGTTCGGTGAGCTTCACCTTCGGATGGGATGTTTCATGTTTCGATCCCATCCCATGTGAAGCATCCCATCCCTTGAATCATCTGTGTTGTTTTGAACCAGATCCCACAGATCCCACAGAATCCGATCCGTGTCATGTTGCCATCCGCGGCTTCAGCCAGCCGCCGCTTCCGATGAAAGCACAGGTGTGCCCTATCGCTTTCGAATCCAGGCCAGGGACAAGGACTGGACCTGCTTTTTGTGTTTATGTCTTTCTGGGAGGACCTTGCTTAAACCGATTGCAAGCAGGGTTTTCTCTGGGATTTGTGGAGCAACGTCCTTTCTTTGTGGGAGCTCTGTATATATTTTGCAACAACTTGATTATTGGACACTTCCTTTGGGGCAGCTGGGAGCTCAACTGGCCACATGTATTGGAGCGGACATGGGCACTTGTGTGTGCGTCAGACAGCGATATGGAGCTCGGCTCCGTTCGGATGGGGAGAACGACTCGAGTTGGATGGGACTCCGAAGAGGATGCGGTTCTCCATGGTTCTCTCAATCTGTTTTTGGTATTTGTGGGAGAAGGTCAACTCGAGAAACGACATCTCAGATCTTCAACTCAATCCCAGTATCGCAGCCAGGTGTAGCCAGGTCAACGGTTGGGTTTCGTTTTGGGCTTCGGAACATGGTCGCTGCGTCGCTGCGTCTTGAGCTTTGTGAAGTCGCTTCTTTCACGCCACGACGCAGAGGACGAGCGGGAGAAGGAGGATGGGATCTATTCAGACCACGCGGGCTTGCGCTTTCCGACCTTGGAAACGGCAGGGGCCCCACCCCGGACCCCCATCCGACATCGGGAAAGTTAAGTGTGTTGAAGGAGAATCCATCCATGACTAACAAATCAATTCGATCTTCTGTACTAGACGGCGTCGACACTCCTTTTTGATGCAGACAGGACTGAAGTTGTCACTTCCATTGAACAACTGTCAAGCCTTTGAGGTGGGAGAGTTTTCCAGCCTTTGCCGCCATAGTTCACATCTCAGGCCGAGAACTATGACTACTGGCGGGACAGGGGCTTTGATCGCATCGAGCCACGATCTTTCCCCATCAAGGCCTAAAACGCGCGTTTTTCTGCGACTCTTTGGTGACTTGAGGTGAAGAGAGCTTTCGAACTTGGAAAGAACACAGAGAAATCAACATTTGAGTCTCAGTTCATACATGGCTCATAATTACCTCAGAAAACGGACATGTCCCCATTTGTTTGGGTCGTGTCCCATTTCAAATGGGGGAGGCTCCAGGTAAATCGGTCGCTGGTTCTTCAGTTGACCGAAGGACTGATCCCCTGGTGGGTTTGGTCACTCTCAGACAAAGATCGCACACAACAAATACACATAGACACTGAACTCACCCCCAAAAATAGACACAGAACTTACTTCACAATCTTCACAAACTTACTTACACAGAACTTGTGGACATTGCCTTGACTTCTTGATGTGTTGCCTTTGACTGGGCTCTTCGGGGGGGACTTTGATCGTTTTTCCCGGATCCTAATCTCCTCCGCCCGACCTCTTGCCTGACCCTTTCCGGGAGGCCGCCGAAAGACCGTTTCGAAACGGCAGGTGCCAGCATATCGGAGATTGGATCCCTATTTTCGAGAATACATTTGGTTCTTGAATAACTTGGCCTGGAAGCCCAGGGGTGGATCTCAGAGTCGTGTTTTGGGCCATCAAGGGCCCAGTTCTTGTTTTGACTCTTTTGTGAGGTCCATTTCTTTGAGAAGAAACAGAACCGTGATCATCATGATGATTTGGTTAGCATGGTCTTTGCCTAGGTTCTGGGCTGGTGTACAAAGCATATATACCTACTACATCCTACTACATCCGACCTCTACAAATAGCCGGGAACTCATATTTTTCTAGGATTTTTTTTCGTTTTTTTTTGGGATTTTTTTTTCACGTTTAGGCATTAGGTATCTCTGTTGGCTTCTGGTGGCTTCTGGTAGCTTTTGCTAGCTTCTGTTGGCTTTTGCTGGC